ATTTTTTTCTATTTAATAATATTTATTTCAAACTTGCAAGTTGAGTTAAAAGTTATGGTAATAAATTCATTTTTTTTTTATTAAAACTTTCACTTTAAAGAACAAAAAGAAGTAGGTTCAAAATGATTACTTTTAACATATTAAAAATCAATAATAATTTGAAAATAATTAATTATAAAAATTATATAATATATAATTAAAATAATTACTAATCTGGATATAATTAAGGAAATAGGAGTTGATGTTGGGTTGGGTTGGTTACATTTTTAACTTTATAATGCTATAACTCATTGAAAAGTGTACGAATCAACACAATTTTTTTATGAGAAATAATATTTTTTAATAATCCCTTTTTCATTCGACATACTTTATCTTAATCAGGGTATTAATAAGAAACTAGCAGATAATGTAGCTTTTGTAATTATCCACCAATTTCTTAGAATTAAACACTATCTACTGATTTGCATCGAAGCGTTTCTTATGATAGTGATTTTAATCACTGTCAGATTAAATCTATACTGGACCCAACTATGCAACATCCCCACTATGCCGCGACCCCACTGTGCTGGGTTTTTATATATGTGAACGTCGAAAGATTTACGAGTCGTGAAAACAATGTATCCAATGGTTATATCATAATATGGTATTATCTAGTTGCCCCAGTGTTCTACCAGAAAAAAAATCCAAATTAAGCTCCGATTTTAAAAATTGTACTTATATCAATTCTTCATCTTTATCGAAATTAAATTTGAAATCACCGCCAAGTATGAGTGAGAGTACATGATATTGTTTCTTCAGTAGTTTAGAGCCACCTTCTGTATATGGTAATAATGTCTCACGAATAAAATTACTTTAGATTTTTTCCCTATTCTATATAATTTTATTCACTTCACTGTATATAAATATAATTATATTGTGTTGGTATTAACATTATTATATTATATAATTACTATTATTAATAATTAATAATAATAATTATAATTTTAAATACCAATACTGATAGATGGAAATAAATAGAACAAAACTTTATATATACTTTAAATATTATACATATATTATATATATATTATGCATGTATACTTGCGTGTTATGTTTACTGGTGTCAACTGTCGCGTAGCATTCCTAGTAAACATCGGCTGTATACAAGTATACACATACATGATTTCAAAGTAAAGAAGCGCAGAAAACTTAACGCTTTTTTGTAAACACTTCTATGAATATTACTCCTCATAAAATTTCGATACTGATGTATGGATAATGATATAAAAATCTATTCTTAAAGAGAAACCTCCAAAAATTATATTAGTTTTAAAGTTCATAAAAAATATTTTGAAAATATCATTTTTTTAAAGTAGTGTATTTTAAAATATTTTTTTATATTTCTAAAATTGAAGAGTTGTTTCAAACTTTTGATGCTCTTAGGTTCAACTAGATTACAATCGGGTTTATTTGATGTATTAATCATGATTATTGTTTGAGTGAGAGATAAGAATTCTTATAAATAGACATACAAAAAAACCACACCCTCATCATTGAGTCAAAGCTAAAAAACTACAAAATTAGCGAATTTTAACGAAAATTTACGATTATCTTCTTTATTGACCGCAAATAATTGTAAGAAGTTTTTGAATAGTTTTTATTTTTTCATCTTAAAGTAAATATTATTATCTTTAATTTAATGTAGGTTTTAAGTATACAAGTTTTTTTGGAATATTATTAATAAATGAAAAGAAAGAATTTGATAAGATTTTGAAGCTGCAACAGTACCCTGATTAATTATTTGATTGTTATAAAATATATATCATCGGTTAATGCCAAATAAAGTTAAATAATAATGATAAAATAAAATATTTATCGTTGAATACTTCGTGATAATCATTGAGTAATATTAAGGTCTTATTTAAACGGAATTTTCACGTGGTCCAGGATTGTTACGTATAATAACATTTTTTTTAAAATTATGTTCAAAACATTTTATAATTGTCGTAACACATTAAAGGAAATCGACGGTGAATAAAATAGTAATGTGTACGAAGATAAAGATGAGGATGTGGTGCCTGCTGTCTAGGTATTCACGTGCGTATTGTCGTACAGCAGTCACCGTACTCGGTTGACACTCCGGGTTAGCTGTGGGTGTCGAAAGGCTGTTGTTATAGGAAGGTAATAAGGGTAACACCAAGGTATAAGGTGCAGACGAAGTGCAAGACGCAAGTACTCTGAACTGTTGTGGAAGAGCGTAGATAGGTTTAAAAAGGAATAAACAAAGACTTTACTTCAAGCAGTAAGCTGGACAGCGACAACCGAGTACTGAGGCTGATGAATGACACAAGGCACTGGAGTCGACTGACCACGATGGTCAGGTCTTTTGGGTTTTTATAATAATGAGAACTATTGCCAAATTGGCAATAAATATTATTTGTTAATTCACCAGTCTCAGGCAGCGGATGTGCTGTCTGTATTTTATAAAAATAATTCTCACAATAATGGTAACATGACACCATCACATAATTATGTAACTCCTGGTATATAATAATAATAAAATCCAACAGGTGGCTTGGTCAATGTTTGTGGTTATTTCGCTTATAACTTATAATTTCTCATGTACTTATCTGATTTTTTATTTCTGAAAAATTGTATAACACATTTAAACTGAGAAATTTTCGTAATCTTAGATTACCCAATAAAAATATCTATATTTTGTAATTAAAATTAAAGACAAATTTTTAAAAATCTTCTAATATTTGTATTTTTGATGAGTTTAACACGTTAATATTATAATTTGTTTAAAACATTTATTAAAACAAAAAAAAAGTTTTTATAATATATTTTTTATAAACATTTTTTATAAAAAACCTGATATGGGCAGTGAAAAAAAAAACATAATTTGTTTAATGTAAAATTTTTGTTTTTAGAATGTATATTGTGTAAAAAATTTTTACATGTAGATGTGACTAATTTAAATTGTTGCAAAAGTAAGGTACATCAGAAATGTTTAGATATATGGCTAACTGAATCGATTGGGTGTCCTGCATGTAATGAAGAATTAATATCAGGTGAGTATTTGAATATTATATTCATATTAAGTTTTTACATTACTGTAATTATTTTAGCTTAGATGCATAGAACAGCTATTAATTTTGTTATATTGTGCTTTTTTGTGTAACTAAACAAGATTTCTCATAATGGATCGATTTTTCTAAATGATTTGTCAAAGTATCACAAAATGTATATAATTCTAGCACCATAATTTAAAAAAAAAAACCCACAATTCTTATAATAAATGAACATTTATGAAACATTTCAGTTGTTATTGAACAGTCTAAAAATATTTTTAATTTTCAAATTATATTAAGATTAGGTTTAGCCTAGCTGGGACTCCGTACCATACCTAGAGTCCTACGAGCCTCATGCGTCTTTGGACTGTTCCCATAAGTAGGCCACTGATTCTAGAAGGAGTATATTTTTTAAAAAAAAACTTTTTTTTTCATGATTTTCTAATATTTGCAACTGATATTATTATTATTATTTCAAATTAGAGCTTGATTAATGTAATATATGAAAACGTTCCAGTGACTTACCTCTAATGAGTAGTCGGCCTCTTAAGTCAAATATCATGTAGTTTTTGTTAAATATAATTAATTTTTTTTAATTTATTTCAAATATGCATCGAAGCAATTTAAGACAGTGTTTTTAATCACTGTAAAATAACAATAAATACTAATTTAAAAAATATTCTAACTCTACTATACTGGATCCCGTTTGTACTTAATTTTTATTATTGCTTTTAAATATAAAAAAAAAATTATTTGTTTATTATACACAAATAAATTAATTCATAGGATTAAAAATTTATAAATCACTTAACTATATAACTTAATTGATTCAATTAAAAAAAAATCCCTTATTAAAAAGTTAATTTTTATACACAGCTACTACACGTATATTATACTAATTAAAATAATAGTAGAAAACATCTTTTATCACAAAAAATTCTGATGGATTGGGTGATTTAGCTAGATGTGTATATAAATAAAAATAATTATATAAATTATATAATAAATGTTTTTGATTTATTGATGCGTGTCTAGTAATAAAATGTGTATTTATATTTAATATATAATATCTAAATTAAAAAATAGGTTCTATTTATTTTTTTTCAGATTATGACAGTAAGTTGATAATTTATTATTTATTTCATCTATGCATTTGTAGTAAAGGTAACTTAAATTTTATTAATATACTATAATTTCAAGTTAAAGATAAAAATATTTATTATTATTAAGTTCTGTTATCTGAAGCCTATTATTACAGTACCTGAACATGTTGGCGATTTTTAGTTGATAAAATCAAATCTTTTCAGACTTTGGATTTACCAATTTGTGGCTTATCAATGACGTAAAACAAATATGCCATCCTTAGCCAAATTATATGATATTGGTAAACCGTAGGTTACTCTCGAAAATCAGTTCCATATATTCACCGATAACTGGCGATTTTCGTTTTTCACTTCTATCAAATTTTCCCTATCCACGGACTATTTTTTCTGGAGAACAAATTTTTTGTTTTTTAACACACACACTGTGGTAACAGATGGAAAAACAACTTTTTATAACTGGATTTAGAGCGCTTTTTTCATAATCTATCATTATAGTATTTAGAGTTAAGTTTTTTTACTTAAAGCAGTTATAAGTTTTTTAAAAATAGATGAATTAAAACAAATTTTTTCTATAAACACCTGAGATATTGCCTATATATTTTTTTGGAAATTTGATTGTTAACACGTCTATTGGGGGCAATCCAAGTTGCTCCTTGTGCATTAAACGTCAATTTTTTTAATTCACTATTGAAACTTTTACCTTTTGAATGACCCAAACGAGTACGCTTAAATCATCTAATACCCTAGACCAGAATCTGTTAATTTATTTATATTTAATCGGTCTGGTAAAGTCCACTATGTCAGTCATCAACTTTTTACTACTAATCACAGTAAAAAGTAGAACACGACAAAATAACTGAATATTAAATAGCTTTGATTAAACTTTTCCAATGCATTTATTTGGATGTTCTAATATTTAATATAAATTAGTTAATACAAACATAAATAATTTTCAAAAACTTCTTTTGCAATTTTCTTTTTAAACATATTATTATGTATAATTTCAAAAAAATAATATAGATTAGAGCCTTTAATACACCATTATATTATTAAAAAGCGTCATTTTGAAGATTTTATAGGTAATACGTTTCGAAATAACAATAAATTTAGAATTTCAGAAATAGTAAAAAAATATGTAAATCTTACAAATCCAAATATACAGAAATTAGGAGTACGTTATTTAAATAACACTTCGCTGAATAAAAATTGTCTTAGGGGTTTGAAATTTTATAATTAGCTATGTTAATGGAAAATTACAAAATAAATTTTTAAAATATAATTATTTCAAAATTATTGTTTTGGCTATTTCAATATGTGTTTCATACTATTATGACCCACATCGAGTTTATTTAAAATCTATTCAGCATCGATAATAGTTATTAATATAGTTTATAAATTTATTTAGTGTTCTAAAATTTAAATACGAGTTAAAAGAAATATGATTTCAAAATCTACGAAATTATAATAATTTTTTTTTTATAAAACTATTTTTTTAAGAAACTTTTGTCTGCTCTGATTGTAAGAACATAAGAAAAAAAGAGGATTTGATAAAAATGAAATGTTGTGATATTAATTTATGTACGTTTTGTATTGAACGTCCACGGAGAACTAGTTGTTTGTGCGGTAGAAGCTTTTTGGAAGGTACTTACTTATTTATAGATTTGCATACTTAATTATATTTTTTTTCTCAGCATGTAATAATCGGTATGTTAATATCAGTTAAACTTATAGAGCCAGATTAAATAATTTAATGATCATAACAATTTATTTAGATGAACTTACCAGATTGCCATACTATGGTAATTGTATGTGTAAAATTATAATATAATCAGGGTTGCGAAAGAAATTAATTTTTTTTTTAATGAAACAAAACAAATGTTTTTTTTTTTTTGAAAATCAAAAGTATTCTATTCTATTTAGTAACTACTGCACTACTGTATTGATACACTAAAGAAAGGAGAGAATGCACGAATAAGGAAATATGATTAATATGAATATGTATTCCCACTTGTCGCTTAATATATTGGGGTTCAATTTCTCACCTTTGAGCTTATTTTATAACGAAATTTCGATGTAGTGTAATTTTTAACATAGTGTTAATCGATCAAATAATGTAGTCAATAGAAATTCATGTAGAAAAGTAGCTCCTCAATTAATGATACAGCACATCAACTATGCCACATCAGTTTTGTTTGGAGTCCTCTCAGCACCAACATGAGTTATTAATTTAATTAAGTTACAAATTTATTTAGAATTTTAAAATGTATACTGCTTTAAAATATTGCACACTATAAATATTAGAGATTGAAGAAATATAATTTTGAAATCTATTAATCTAATATTTTTTTTTTTTAAGAAAATACCGTCTGCCATAAATGTGAAACAGTAAGAAATGTCATTTTATGGGATTCTGTAGTAATGAATTGTTGTGGTAAAAGGCTATGTAATTTATGTATCAATAATAAAATGAGAATTCGTTGTTTGTGTGGAAATTACTTAGCGGAAGGTACTACATACATATTTTATTTTTTTTTAGCGTACAATTATTTTAATTTAAGGATCATAATCAATTGATTTATATGAACCTAATTGATTACTACTATATGATAATATTATGAGCAAAATAGTAATATTATATTGCAATTTTATTTCCCACAAGTAATTTTTCTTTTAATTTATTCACACTAAATTATGCAAATTTAATATACTGTATGTCTTAGATCTAACTGAATAAGCTTATTAATGATATTATTATAATTATAAAGAAATATTTTTTAAAATAATTAGTGCCTACTTAAATTATATTCAAAGTATATGTATTACTACTAAACATATAAAAAAAAAACGGTAGCACAGTGGGGTCACGGCATAGTGGAGACATTGCACAGTTGGATTCAGTATAGATTTAATCTGACAGTGATTAAAATCACTATCATAAGAAACGCTTCGATGCAAATCTGTAGATAGTGTTTAATTTTAAAAAATTGTTGGATAATTGCAAAAGCAACATCAATTTCTATTAAAATAAAATACAAAACCCATAATTTTCATACAAAAATAGCATATTTTTGAATATGGTAGCCATTTGCGTATAGAAGATAGGTCATTTGTTCATTTTTGAAAAAGTTATGGCAGTTTTAAGTACAAAAAACATCCCGATAAAAGGTCATTTTTATCGCAAACATTACATTTTTTTTTAAATTTTCGACAGCCATTTGCACATAGAAGATAAGATGTCGGGACAAATTTTTTTTTTTCATTTGATAGTACATAAAATAAGCTTTAATTTGATATATGTTTAAAGGACGCAGTATTTCCGGAACATTTTCAAAAGTTCAGTTGAAAAAAATTTATGTTTTTTACAATATTTTAAGTTTTGAACGCCCCCTATATAAGGAGAAATTGTCCAATTTTAATAAAAAGTATGTCAAATGAAAGATGTACTTATAATGTATTTAGAAAAAAAAAATTTGTGCTGATATATACATTTTTCAAAAAGTTATAGCATTTTTAAGTTGAAAATTTAAAATCGAAAATCGAAAATTTTAACACAAAAATAGTGTTTTTTTAACTACGGCAGCCGTTTAAATGTAGAAGAAAAAGTGTCGGGACAAATTTTTTTTTTTCATTTTATAGTACATAAAATAAGCTTTAATTTGATATATGTTTGAAGGACGCAGTATTTCCGGAACATTTTCAAAAATTAAGTTGAAAAAGTTAATTTTTGTAAAAAGTTTCTATTTTAAATCCCCCCTAATGAGCAGGTTAAGTGATAGATTTTCAAAAAAATGATATCAAATGAAAGGTAAATATCTAAGGTTTTAGTATAAAAAAAAATATTGTTGATTTGTTGATTTTTCAAAAAGTTATGGAAGTTTAAGAAAAAAAAGTGAAAAAATTTCGAAAATTAGCGATTTTTAAATTTATAATTTTTTTGGATATTTCCCCCATTTGCGGGGAACGAGGGAATTTTTTTCAATTTTTAAGGGTAATGTCTTCAACTAGATACGATTTGTGATCTTTTGACGTATTTTTGAAAGAAATCGGTCCAGTGAGAGCTGAGAAAAAGTGGCAACAGACATAAAAAAAAAACACATCATAGTAAAATTAATACCTTCTCCACTTCGCATCGAAGCTAATAAAAACATTTTTTTTTTTATTTTGTCAAAATTTTAAAATACACATTCTTAGTTCTTTTTTTTACAAAAATTGTTGATTGGTCGATAAATATTATAGAACATTTACTCAATAAGTTCTAAGTATTTAATAAATAGAATAGGTAATTAATGACAGTGAGTGTAGTTCATATTGGTGTACGTATACTCTAACCGCGTTCCATCTATACGTGTGGTGATGACTAAATATAGACTTTTCTTAGAAATATAAATACTATATTTTATAAATTGTATTATAATTGGTTAAAAAAATTGTTTATTATTTTGATATTATACTTTAGGTATTCCTTCTGAACCCGAACGAAAATGTACGGCGTGTAAAAAGAATATTGGAATATATACATTTTCTCCTCGTTGTCCACAAATATATTGCAAAAGATGCTTTATTGACATGGAAATACGTTATAAATGTTGCAAATATTGTAGCGAAAGAAAAGCTTGGAAATGTTGCATATATTGTAACGAAGAAAAAGTGAAAGATTATTTATAATTTATAATTATATATATATACACAATACTCAATATATTGTATATTGTGTATATTGCTAAAATAGATATCACTAAATAATGTGCTAGATATTTAGAGTTATCAAATCATTATGATATCTATAGCTTTTTATTTAAATATTATAATTATTAAATTATTTGTTATCTGAATTGTTGTTAGCTTAAGTTTAAAGCTAAAAATAAATCGAATCATTTTAAGCATATTAAAATATACTAACTTATTCAAAAACCATATCATAACTTACCATAATAAAAGTATTACATTATTATGTGACTCGTGTATTTTTTTACATATTTTATTGATATACAAAACAGATCAAATTTTAAAATATATATAACTACTAATTACAAAAAGTATATATCATACACACGGATTTGTGTGGTTCAATGCAAAATTACTTGATAAGTTCTTTTTATAATTTAAGAACCCTTATTCACACTTAAAAAATATATGTTTCTAATTATCTGCACAATGCTCAAGATTTATAATAATACTGTACATTACTTGGAGAACGACGAGTATAAATTTTAAATTAGTTAAATTTATATTTATATTTAACAAAAAAAAAAACCCAGCACAGGGGGGTCGCGGCACAGTGGTGACGTGGCATAGTTTAATCAAATATAATGATATCTGACAGTGATTAAAATCATTATAAAAAAAAACGCTTCGATGCAAATCTTTAGATAGTGTTTAATTTTAAAAAATTGGTGAATTATTCCAAAAGCTACATAATCTGCTAGTTCCTTATTAATATCCTGATTAAGATAAAGTATGTCGAATGAAAAAGGGTTTATTAAAAAATAGTATTTCCCATAAAAATTTATATTGATCAATATACTTTTAAATAAATTATAGCATTATAAAGTTAAAAATGTAAAAAATAAAATTGAGAATTTTCACACAATAATAGCATTTGGTAGCCATTTTCACCGTGAAGACAAAATAAAGTCCGAAATTTTTTTTTACATAATAAAGTAGATTACATTAGCTTTAATTTAAAATATATAGAAAAGTGTCAGACTTTCCGGAACACTTTCAAAATTTAAGTTGAAAAAGTCAGTTTTTTGTGAAAAAGTTGTCATTTTGAATCCCCTCCTGTAGATAAGTAAAATGTCAGATTTATAAAAAAGTATACCAAATGATAGGTAAAGACATAATGCATCTACAAAAAAAACAATTATATTGATCCATACATCTTTAAAAAAGTTATAGCATTATAAAGTTAAAAATATAAAAAAGAATTTTTTTACAAAAATCGTATTTTTTTTATTAAGTTTAATGTCTGTTTTCACCATGAAGATAAAATAAAGTCCGACATTTTTTTTTACCATTATAAAGTATATTACATTAGCTTTAATTTAAGTTATATATAAAAGTGTCAGACCTTCCGGAACACTTTCAAAAGTTAAGTTGAAAAAGTTCTACTTTCTATATGCATTTTTAGGTTTTGAATCCCCCCTATATTAAGGAAAATAGTCCGATTTAAAAAAAAAGTATGTCGAATAAAAGATGTGTATAAATACTACTTCTCATAAAAAAATTGTAAAAAGTCAGATTTATAAAAAAAATATACCAAATGTTAGGTAATGATATCATGCATCTATAAAAAAAAGAATTATATTGATACGTTTATTTTTAAAAAATTATGTTGATTTTTGAAAAAGTTACGGCAGTTTTTAGTAACACAAATTGAAAAAATTTCGAAAATTGGCCACTTTTAAATTTGTAATTTTTTCGGGGGTTTCCCCCATTTACGGGGAACAAGGGAATTTTTTTCTATTTTTAAGGGTAATGTCTTCGACAAGATACGATTTGTGATCTTTTGACGTATCATTGAAAGAAATCGGTTCGGTGAGAGCTGAGCAAAAATGACACAAAAACAAAAAAACACAAAGTAACAGACACAAAAAAAACGGTAGCACAGTAGGATTGTTGCATAGTATGAACGTGGCATAGTTAGATAGTATAGATAAAACATGATAATTGAAATCTCAGATATTTTTCTTTAATTTGATATATGTTTTATGATAATCTGACCCTTTTTGAAAATACTAAGACCTTAAAACATATGTCAAATTAAAGCTTAGGTTACGTAATATAAATAAAAAAAAAGACCTATCATCTTTATGGAAATGGCTGCCGTAGTTAAAAAACAAGCTATTTTTGTGTTCAAATTTTATTTTTGTTTGTTTATTTTAAAATATCTTAAATACAGTGAGGCAACGAAGAGGCGGTGGCCATCTCACGATTACCATGTAATATGATTATGTATAAGGTACAAACTAGTCAGTAATAATTAATTAAAGTTTGAAAATTAATATAAATATTTAATCTATTTATCATTTTCTTTGCTCAGATTACTAATTCTAAATAATTGGTTGTTAATATAATATAATTATGGACTCTTATTGATTTAAATCTTACTTGATAATTATTCTTTGTTCTTATAATAACTTTTAATAGTATGAAATAATAAAAAAAATAACACAAATTCTAGTTTTTATTCATAAATTAACACGTAAGAATTTTGACAATGATGATCACAAACTTAACGTATCGATGTCGAGAGCGCGATCGGAACAGACGAGAGTGCGATTAGAACAGAAGGACTATCGAGGATTGCTCTGCCTCTTATAATATTTTATATCCCCAAAAATCATAAATTTCAACTAGATATGATTTGTGATCTTTTGACGTATCTTTGAAAGAAATCAGTCGAGTGAAAGCTGAGAAAAGTGTAAAATAGAAAAAAAAACATCATAGTAATATTAATATCTTCTCAGCTTCGTATGGAAGCTAAAAAATGAAGGGGTATCTTTTTATTTAAAAAAAATATTTACAAAATATAAGGAAATATTTATATTATTTAAATATTATGTACTTATAAAAATATAAAAATGTACAGATTGATTAGCTATTGATGTAACATAACAATGTCTTTTAATAATTGAACACTATCAACATATTCTTTTATTTATACTTCCATCATTTTTTTGAAAAATGTATAGAGCAATACTATATTGTTTTTATAATTATTTCATACAAATTTCTTTTAAACGACATAATTTTTTTTAACCTAACAATTTTTTTTATGTATAATTCCTGCATTCTTTAATAATGTACTAAATAATAGGTAGACAATTATTATCTACTACAAATTTTGTTTTCAATTATTTTCTCTTCGATGTGAAGCTTAGAAAATATTAATTTTACTATGACGTGTTTATTTTTTTTGTCTATTACCACTTGTTCTCAGATCTCACCGAACCGATTTCTTAAAAACCTCTACTTCAAAAGATTACAAATCGTATCTAGATGAAGACATTAACCTCAATAATAGAAAATATTTCCCTCGTCCCACCATGAATGGTTGACATCTCCAAAAAAATTTAAAAATTGCTAATTTTCGAAATTTTTTCAATTTGTGTTACTAAAAACTGCCGTAACTTTTTCAAAAATGAACATATCAATATGATTTTTTTTTAAAGATACAGGAGGTCTTTATCTATAATTTTGTATATTTTTTTTATAAATCTTACTCTTTACCTCCCATTGAGGGTGATTAAAAATGACAACTTATTCAAAAAACAAATAACTTTTTCAACTTAAACTTTGAAAGTGTTCCGGATATACTGACAATTTTGTATATATCTTAAATTAAATTTTATGTGATATATTTTAATATGAAAAAAATATCTATATTGGATTTTATTTTGTATTCATGGTATAATAACAAACATCAAATTTAATTAAAAAAATATGATTTTTGTAAAAAAAATTCTTTTTTATATTAATAACTTTATAATGCTATGACTTTTTGAAAATTTTATAGATAATTACACATTTTTCATGATATTACTATTTATATACCTTTTTCAATTTACATAATTTTTTTTTTAAATTGAACCATTTCCCTTTATACAGGGTTGGTTTAAAACTTAAAAATGCGTCTAGAAAGTAGAATTTTTCAACTTATTTTTAATTAAAATATATTTATTGTTTATTCATACGTAGCCTATCAATTAAACATAAATATTTGTTATATTAATTAGAAAGATTTTGTTATTATTTAGGCCATATTTGAAACTCTAATTGCAAATTTGAAATTGTCGCCAAACTTGGTTTAGAAAATTATATTTTGGTCTCAGATGAAAATTCCTTGTAGACCAGAAATTTATATATAAATAACAACTATTTTTTTTTAAAGTATTGCATGAAGACATTCAACTTTTATATAAGTTATACTTTATTTAATAGCTATAATAAATATTTATTCATATATTACACTAATACATCATAAAACTTGTAATCAGAATATAAATAAGAAATTAGAAGATCATATTGCCTTTGGAATAAACCACCAAATTTTTAAAATTATGGGTTTTGTATTTTATTTTAATAGAAATTGATGTTGCTTTTGCAATTATCCAACAATTTTTTAAAATTAAACACTATCGACAGATTTGCATCGAAAAGTTTTTTATGATAGTGATTTTAATCACTGTCAGATATTATCGTTCCCACTGTGTTGGGTTTTTTATATATTATTATTCGATTTTTTTAAAACTGGTGATCTCTAAAATAATAATTGTTTAAATAAATAAAAAAATCGATATTGTTTGTACTAAGTTAACCACCCTAGTTCAATCTTTGAGTGTGTTACCAGTGTGGTCAATACAAATAAAGACTTTCTTGCGAAGATAGAAAACCCACTTGTGGTTCCTATACTACTCCAGGTATATATTGACACCACTCACAGTCAGCACAAGCTTAGATAACTACTGGTACGAGTGACGTTATTGATAATTTATATGTGATAATTAATTACAATAATTTATATTTCAAATTATTATTAAAATAAACAATTACAAATATATATATATTTTTTATTTTACATATTTTCATAAAACCCTCGAACTCATATACCGATAGAAAAGTATATAATATAATTTTATTCAATAAATACATAGTAACTCAATTATTCTTATGCTCATCCAACCAATAACTAATTTTACTATATCATTTTAATTATAGTAATTATGTAAAAAAAATAATTTTATATTATATTCATTTTTTGAGTTACTATACATCTGCTATGAAAGACAATTAAGTAAAAATACAATTTTTTAAATATCATTGAATTAAAAAGTTAGGAGTTTGTCGTTATTATTTAATATTAATTCAATCATTATAGTC